CGGTAATATTTTACTGTAATAAGTATTGTGATTTATATTATATGGTGTTTGAATATATTGTAAACCTTATTAAAATGTGCAGATATTTTATTAATAACTTAAAATAAATTTAAATTCCAATTTTAGTGATAGCTGTAACAATATTTAAGACTTTGTAATTGTTTTCATGAAGCCTGCTACTTTGAAAATACGATATTTTATGGGTTTATACAGACAAATCATAAGGAAATTTTCTAATAAAAAAATAAAAAAAAAATTATGATTACAATTGCGATCAATTTTTAATGTAAGTATAAAGATAAGTTGCATTTAGAAACAATGAGCAATAGTAAGAAAAAACCTGTAAATTTATCTATTTGTTTTTGGGTTTTTATTGATGTACTTAGAAAATTTGATCCATATTTGATATTTATATATTCTTGATATTAAAATTTGGTTAAGTAGCTTGTTTAAAAAAGATACTATCACCACGTATGCTTACAGAATATGTGCTTATTAAAAATAATTGTAGTATAATATATTTGATGTATATTTTATATATTTGCGTTCTAAATTAGCTTTATTAAAAATTGGTTTATATAAATAAAAATAAATCTGTTTATAAAACTAAAAAAAAAAATTTTAGTATTAAAAAAAAATGTCTAAAAAGCAAAAAATAACTACGCTTGAATCAAATATTCAATATGAGAATGAATTAACTGAAGGCAGTTTTGAAACTACTGATAATACTATCGATTTAACAGAAAATACGTCAACTGAGCCAACGGTCGAACTAACAAATACTAGTGAAGAAACTGATCTTAACTTAGTTTCATTTTCTTCACGAGAATCCTCTTGGGTTTGGGAACATTTTTCAAAGGTATTTAATAACAACAATGAAATTATTTTATTTATATGTAGTATATGCAAACTTAAATATAAGTCAACCAATACGGCAGGAACGCTTGCTAAACATCTACATAATAAGCATAGTAGCTATATTGGTAATCGACAAAGCACTCTTGAAAAATTTATGGGTAAGCCATATTCAAAAACAGATCAACGATACCAGCAACTTACAGATATAATTGTAGATTTTATAGTTTGTTGCCAGCTTCCTTTTTCTATTGTTGATAATATATATTTTATTACAATATTAAATAAATTTGACGGATGATATCAAGTACCTTGTTGACAAACTATATGAACTGAGGTTTTGAATAAATATAATTATATGCGTAATGTAATTTTACAAGAACTTGAAAAAGCCAAAAAAGTTTCAATTACTTGTGATATTTGGAGTTCAATTACAATGCAATCATATCTTGGTATTACGGTTCATTTTATTAACTATGAATGGCAATTGAAACATTTTTTACTTGATCTTTATTATCTTTCCGAACAACATATGGCTATAAATATTAGTCAAGCTCTTATACAAGTATTGGATCAGACTAAAATTACTGAAAAATTATTGGGAATTACAACTGATAATGCACATTCGATGATAGCTGCAAGGCGGGAACTAAAAGAAACTTTAAATAATTATGAATTAGTTCATCAATGATGCGGCGCACATACTTAATCTTGCTGTACAACATGGTTTGTAGCTAGTATCACCAATTATAAAAAAGGTTCGAGAATTTGTATCAAAAATTCGGCATTCAACAAGATTAAGTGAGTCTTTAAAAACAATTTATAAACTTGAAAATAAGCTCGAATTAAAACCTGATTTAGATATAGAGACACAGTGAAATAGTACATATCTTATGTTAAAAAAATTTTGCCAAATGAGAGATATATTAGACCTTTTTATTATTAAAAATCGTGATCTTTCTAATTTTTATTTGCAAGATGATGATTGGCTAGTAGTTAATAGTTTAATTCAATTACTTGAACCATTTTTTATAGTGACTGAAATATTATCAACTTCAACGTATCCTACTATAAGTGATGTAAGATTAACTATAATTAGATTATTACGGCATTTAGAATCTTTTCTTGAAACTCACCCTGATACTAATTTGGATGAATGTATGGTAGCAAAATTCAATTAATTTTAAACTTCAAGAATATTGGGAGTATGTCAACGAACCAACAACAATTGGTACATTGTTAGATCCGCGATCTAAGACTAAGACTTTTAAAGATATTAATAAGCGTGATAGAGCTATAGCACTTTTGCATAACAAAATGAAATTATATAAAAATGGTACTCAATCTATTAATATAAATTTACGACCAAGAGAAAACAAATAGTCATTTTTTGAATCTTTAATTTCCGATCAAAATTCTGAACAAGTAATTGTTGAAAATGAAATTACTCGATATTTTGCAATTCCAGTTGATCCGAACACAAATCTATTAGATTGGTGGCACTATTTTGGTAAAGATTTTCCAATTCTTGCAAATATGCAAATATGGCATTATACTATCTAAGTATTTAGAGTTCAAGCATGCCTTCAAAACAGGCTTTTTCTATAGCAGCAAATACTATAACTAAAATTCGTTGTAACTTAAAACCAGATACTGCACATGCAGTCATATGTCTTAAAAACTGGATTCAGCAAGTACGTGATAATAATGAAAAAGAACTTAATATAGAAAGTTTTTTTCTTTTAGAAATATAACATTTTAACTACGTATATATTTATTATTAAGAAAGTGTTAAATATTAGCTAAAATCGTAAATTTTTTAGAAGTAGGCTAGTAACTCAATTTCAGCTAATATCTAACACGCATATTCTCTATTATTATTAGTAACTTTTATGATAGTGCTTTTTGAATTACTATGATAACAAATTTCATACTATATAGAAACTTGGAATCGATTAAAATCCTAATTGATTTTATTATAAGAAGGTTCAAACTTTAATTATAGACTGATAAATTTTAATCTTTAAGCTATCTTCAAATACTACTAGAATATAGAATTGAAAGTAGCTTATAGGTGATGAACTAACAATTATGGTAATTTGAAAAATACTTTAAATATTATTATATTAACCAATTTTACAAATAAATAAAATATTATTTATTATCTCTTATACTAGTGTTGAGTCTGTCTATATATCTAATAATTTTTGTTTAAATTGGACATATAAAATTTCGTGCACAATTTTTATATATCCAAAAAAGTCCAATAGCCAACACTGCCTTATACTATAAGGTGTTTATAAACAAATTTGCCTGGATAAGATATTCAATAATTTTTTAAAAAAACTACATACTGCCAAAAATTATATTTGTAGAAAGCTTTCAAATTTGTAGTTGAGTTTTTTTTATAACACCAGATACCTTTAATTTATATGATATCTGCTAGAAAAAGTGCAAATTTTTCTATAAAATAGTGTAAGAGATAAAAAAAAATTAATTTTTATTTAGATAAAGAATTAATTGATTTCATATTTGTAAACAATCTATAAACCAAACATTTTATTACCTAAACACGCTACAAAAACAATATATTCAAGTATTAAACTTGGACCTTCTATCGCTATAAGCTTGTTTCTATTCAAGTTAAATGTATATAAGTACCGCCAAGGGAAAAGGGCACCTTGGCAATTTAAGTATATTACTAATTAGAGATAAGCAAAGTCAGTTACATACTATTACTTAATAATACTTAATATTACCTTGCAATAAGTATTATTAAGTAATTTTGCAATAATTTTATTATTAATAATACCTTTTTGTTCAATCTCAATTTTGATCACCTGTCTCTGACTTTTATCATGTATTTTATATATACACATAATAGATAATTGAATGTAATAATTATTTAATATTACTTAATATTAAGTAAGGGATAAGTCATAGGTCATT